ATTGAATCAAATCCACCTAGAACATCTAGAATAATCTCCCTTCCTTAAATTCAACTGCTTGTAGACTTTGATCACGTCTACAAATACCTTCACACCCGGAGGAGCATTTGGTTGAATAACCAGGGATTTTAGTCTGGAAGAGTTGACACATCAAAAGACCATCATAGCATGAAATAGGGACACAGAATAAGACTTCTTTGAGTTCTTTGAGTTCCTAGATCAAACCATTCCTGAGCTCCTGACTACTACCAGTATGTTCCAGTTGAACATTTCAAAAAATCTGACCATGGGTATCTCAAGCTGTGCTTTCTCTAACTCACAGCTTTTAGTCCTAACTGACACAAGAGGGGCCCAAACAAAGGAGGTGACAGTTCTGACCAGACCTCTCAAAGAGGGCTGGGTTCCAGCTAATGGGAGACACATTGATACACACCAGGATGGATAAAGGAACAGTCGTTACCATTTAGTGGGGAGATGTTTACTGGCCTCCTTGCTGTGGACAAAAAGACAAAGAGGACACTTGCTCTGCCCCTGGGGGACAGACGAACAAGTGGACAATGCCATGTCAAAGCCAAGGAAGGGGCCATGGGAGCCTGTGCAGGCAAGTGGAAGGAACCTAATCCAGCAAGGCAGGCTTCCCGGAGAAAGTGACATTTCAGCTTGGTCTGGCAGGTAAGAAGAAACAAACCAGGAGCAAGCAAGGTCGGGGAAAGACATTCCAAGAAGAGAGAATGGCACATATGAAGGCCAAAGGTCACTTGCATGTGGTAACCACAAAGGGATTGCGGATGCTGTGTGATTAAGGTAACTTTACCTTTTTGTGCACCAGTGCCCTTGAATGACGAGACTAGATCAAATGCATTAATCCTTGTACAGGACTTGGAGGAAGGCAGCATTCCAGGATTAGTTTATATCACCATCATTACTGCCATCATCATCATTGTCAATATCTGATAAAAAGTGTGGGAAAGACTGGCAGAGATGGCTAGAGAGCTTGGCCTGGACCAGACCACAGACCTCAGACTATCTTCCAGGCCTCAAGGAACCAGGGGAAAATATGAAACAGAGGCTGGCCAGGATGGATTTCTGCTTTATGAAAGGCTACTGGAAGGAGAAAGGACTCTGGGCATAGAGATGGTAACAGAGATGCAATTGTGGGAAAGGATCACTGCCCATGGGAAAATGTTTATGAAATTGCTTGCTCAGAAAAAGAGTCGATGCTGAGAGAAAGGGACAAGCGGTGATAGACAGATGGAGGGCTGAGAAACACCCAGGGCTGTTCTGTAATAGAAGGTGCTGGAGTTTTAGATCATGGAAGGGAAGCTTAAAGAGTAATGAGCTCCCCATCCAGGGAGGTATATAAGCAGACTCTGGATGAACGCTTGACAAGGAAGCTATAAAAGAAGCACAAACTACAGGTGGGTTGAGGCTGATCATTTCCAAGTTCCTTGCAGCCTTGATCTCTGTTCTACAGAACCCCAGAGAGACGGTATGCTAGTTTTCTGCTGCTGCTGTAACAAAATCACTATAAACGGAATGACTTAAAACAACAGAAATTATCTCATAATTCTGGAGGGCAGAAGTTCACCTTGGGTCCCGCTAGACTACAATCAGGGTCTTGGCAGGCTTTGTCCCTTTCTGAAGGCTCTAAGGAACAATCTTTTTTTTTCTTCTTTCCTCTTTTCTGCTTCTAGTGACGTCCTGCATTCCTTGGCTTGTGGCCTCTTCCTCTGTCTTCGAAGCCTGCAGCATAGCATCTTCCAAATTCCCTCTCTCTCCCTCACTTTCTCACACTCCTATCCCACGCCCCATGCCTGTCCCGCATCCCCACAACACTGCTCACAGATGGAGCCATCGCCAGGTTCCCGGGACACCAGGATTTCCACACCCCTTCACTTGTGTGTTCAGTGAGTGAATTGGTCTTTCTCCTCCTTGCTGAGGACAGCATTCATGCCATCCACTCTTTCATCCTAATGTCCATCTCAGGCCTGCACACACTAGATTCTCAATAAATAAAGAAGAGTTCAGAGAATGAATAAGAGTCCCTTTAAAGAAAACGGCTGGAAGATACCATTCTAGCTGAGAAACATTCACCCCCTCATTAGCTCTTGATGGTCATTCGGCTCTCCTGGCATAATGAAGTCCCTGTGATGGGACCTCTTGTTTCTCTCTTGCATCAAGGGGGTTGGGAGAAACCTTTGGAAGAAGACAAAGGCTTTAGTCTATGGGGAAATTCCAGCCCGGATTTTTAACGTTCACATTCCAGATGGAATAACCTGATGCTGAAGGGGCTAGGGAAGGGGCTGGGGAAGGGGGCTGGCTACAGGAGGAAGCACTGTGTCACAGGAGACCTTTGTGAGCAGGCACACTCATGCGAACCCAGGGACCGCGGCATCCAGGGCAGGGTCTTGCCTGTCTGCGGGGGGAGCTGAGTCAGGCTGTGCTCTATGCGTTTCTTAATGAACGTGTGCCTCACTCGGAGTAACAAGATTAACAGCCAGCAGGTTAATTCAGCAAAGCTTTCCTGAGCATCCGCTCTGCCCAGCTGGGTGCTGGGTGCTGACAAGCCAAGATGCAGAAGGTGCACATGGTGCGTGGGAAGACAGACAGGATCTGCTGAGCAGGATGTCTGGTGCTTAGGGTGCAGGGGGTGTTTCTGATTGGCCCAAGGAGCCCCATCAACAACGACACAAGTGTCCAGGATGGAACCAGGCTGGGTCTCCCCGCGATATGTTTATCTCACCATCAAGTGTGCAGAAAAGCCTGTTTTCCAGCCCAGCGACGTCTCCTCGATCGGACGGTCCAAGGACTTGTTTTGCTGCGTGGGTTTGTTTTTCTTCCCTGTCCTGAGTTTAAAGCTTCTTCAAGGAGCACGTCCAGAAGCCCTAGGGCATTTCAAAGCAGACTGGAATTCCCGTCTGGGGCTGATTTGTCTGCCAAGGAGGCCCACACCCCAGGCACCACCGCGGAGGGAGTGAGGAGACCCCTTCATTCAGAAGAAAAACACATCTGTGTTTGCCGCTTGCACCTCCAAACACACGCAGTTCTGCCCAGTCTGAGAGGGCACCCAAGAGGCAGTCCCCAGGCCCTCTCACTTAAAGTGTTTAGAGAACAGGCTCCAAACCAAACAGGAAGGCAAAGCTGTGATCCCTGCCTGGGGCTTGAACACAGAAAAGTAGCAAAATAGAACGTCAGGGTGGGAAAGGACCTCCAACTGCCCGGGGGTTGCTGCTCTGTTTACGGACAGAGGATGGGCACCAGGGTCAGGAAGTGATTTTTCAGGGCAGACAGAGACAAGGAGGGCCTGGAGCTGGACTTTCATCCCTGCTGTTGATCCTCGATGCCGCCCCACCTCCAGGACACCATGCTCCTTCCCCTTAATCCTCTGGTCCTCCCCTTGGTTTTCTTCTGGGAACGTGTGCCCGACAGGCCCCTCTTTTGCCCTCTGTCTCTTCTTATTGACCTTGTGACCTCAGACAGTTTCATTGGCCCTGAGACCCTCAGTTTTTCCATCTGGGAAATGGGAATAACCCCACCCACTTTACTGGCTTTCTGCAAGGTTCATGACATTTGCGACATCTGTGTAGTTGTATAAATGAGGCTGATGCCTCATGCTGGTGCATATTCGATGCTCGGTGTTAAGGAAGAACCTTCTTCTCTTTTGACAGCTCCTTCTCCCAGCTTGTTCCTTGGTCTTGGGCAGCCCAAGAGCTCAGTCCCTGACTGCAAGAATCCTGCTCCTCCCCAGTTCCACACTGTGGGGTGGGAGAACGGGAAACAGGTAAAGCACAGAACCTCATGGGATCTATTTGCCTCTAGCTTTACGACCTTGGGCATATTGCTGGAACTCTGTAAGCCTCGATTTTCCCACCTGGAAAATGGCACTGTTTTCTGTCCTTGCCTCCCAGGGACGCTTTTAGGAAAGGAGACAGTGACATTAGCTCCGACTGGGATAATAGCTCAGCATCTTTTATGCCTCACCATGCTCTTATCATCCCTAGTTAAGGAGAGAGAAGAGTTAACAAACTTGCCCAAGATCATCGAAGAAGCTGGTGACCACTCGATCTGCTGAGCACCTAAGGGCAGCGCTTACTCCTTTAACTGGTCCCCACGCTCCTCTGTTTACAGGAGAGCAGCCTGCAGAGAATCATTGCTAAAAGAGACACATTTAGGGGACTTCCCTACTGGTCCAGTGGCTAAGACTCTGTGCTCCCAATGCAGGGGGCCCAGGTTCGATCCCTGGTCAGGGAACTAAATCTTGCATGCCACAGCTAAGACCTGGTGCAGTCAAGTAAATAAAAAACAGAGAGAGACATTCGGAGAACCCACCCTTTCTGAGGGTCTGCTCGGTACCCAGGGCTTGTGCCAGGAGCCTCAGGTGGACCAGCCTGGGGGATGTTCCCACACCCCCACCTCAGGTACTAGCATGAGCCCATCTTCCAGATACAGAGATGCAGCTGCTCAGAGGGCAGCTGGCCAGTCAGTGGCGGGTGGATAGTGATACCCAGCTGCCTGATCCCAAGTTCTGGATCGCTGGTGCTCGATCCATCCCTTCTGGTCCCTTACCCCCATCCCATCCAGTCCTGCTCCAAGAGATCAGTCAGTTTAAAAAACAAAACAGTCCCCACTCTGACTGAAAGGGCTGACTGCCCCATCGTTGGACCACCCACTCATCCATCCTGTCTCTCTCTTGTCCTCCCCTCTTCTACCAGTCCTGCCACTTCAGAAAGAGCGCCTACCAAGAGAGAAAATTCTATTGCACGTTGTGTGAGAGGAAGACCCCACTTCCCTTCCAAGTGCCCCGCACCCCAGCCCAGATAGCCCCTCCTCTCAACAGGGGTGGTGGGGGCTTCAGGTCTGAAAGGCTCCAGTGTCCCCCAGCCAGGTGGGCGTGGTCTTGGCCTTGGCTGGGCCCCACAGGAAACAGAGGAGACACAGAGGACCACCCCCGGACCTCTGCTTAAAGGGGCGGCTGGCCTGGGCTGCAGTCAGGCCGCCTTTGCACCATGACACCCCAGCTGTTCCCCCTGTTGCTGCTGCTGCTCCTGGCCGGGCTCCCCGCCACACGGCCGGCTCCTCCGACCTGCTACTCTCGGATGCTGGCCCTGAGCCGGGAGATCACCTCTGACTTCCAGAGCCTGCAGGCCACGGAGCCCTTGGTGAGTGCCCTCGGCCCCCACCTGAATGAGGACAGGAGGTCCATGCAGACCCAGTTCTCAAAAATTCGCCTTTGGACTGGGGGCTGAACGGGGACGGGTCAGGGAGGAAATGTTATTTTTCTTTTCCAGTCAGTGTTAATTTCCAGGGTATCTGTGCTTTATTCCCATCCTATTAAATGTCGACTATTTGTGCTTCCTCTCTACCACAAAGAAAATGCACTCCAAGATATCATAACTTTTGTTTATAACTAGCTGACTCAATGGACATGAGTGTGAGCAAACTCAGGGAGATCGTGAAGGACAGGGAAGCCCGGCGTGCTGCAATTCATAGGGTCCCAAAGAGTCGGGGGTGACTCAGCGACTAGGGAGCAACAAGCTAGCAATAATCAGAGGATCTGTTTTAAAATGTAAAAAGAGAGACGGAGAGAGAGAAAGGAGTAAAGCTCCCCTAGAGTGTAGAACTCCAACTTAAGGAGGACCAAGGAGTTCAGCTTGTCTAGTCTCCCCACGAGCCAGCAGGAGCTGATGGGCTGACTCCTGAACCAGCCCCACCTCTTACCTGCTAGAGGACCTGAGCAAATTATCCGGCAGAATCAGAGGATCCCAGCGTCCTGAGCTGTGAGGGCCGAGCCCCCACACTCACTGTGGGCAGCTGGAGGCCAGCAAACTGGAATGCAGACACAGTCCGCCCGGTGGAAACAGCCCTGGACTTCAGCCACCGTTCACACCGCTCTGTTAAGTGGAAGACGCAGGGGCTCGGAACCCAGAGTCCCCAAGGGCCACCCAGAGCTAGAATCCGGCCTCCTGACCGCTCTTCCAGAGTAGACACAAGCTAAATTAAACTCCAAAGCTCTGGCAAAATTTAGAAGTGTCCCTTTACCGCTTTTGAACCCTTCACATAAGATGCACTGTTCTCAGATGTGGGGCTTATGATACCTTAACACCTCCTTTGTGTTTTGTTTTTGAAAGTTAAATAATGTGTATTTTTTTCTTAAGTTATGAAGCTCATATACCTGGAAAACAGTTGGAAAAGGCACGAAAGACAAAGAAGAAAATAAATATTACTGCAATCCTACCACCTAGAGGTGACCTGCTGCCATCACATTCAGAGGATAGGATTTCAGTTCTTGATCTGTGCATAGATATCCAATCCAAGTGCGTGTGTATAGACAAATCGAAACAAACAGCACAGTGGTTCTGAAGTTTACTTTCTAACATTCCATCAAATTAATATTCCTTTGAAACAGGTTGTATTGTTGCACCCTAATTTATCCACAGATTCCTTGCTATTAGACATGTGGAGCGTGGGTGTGTAGAGCGTGCATGCGTGCTAAGTCTCTTCAGGTGTGTCCAACTCTTTGCGACCCCATGGACTATAACCTGCCAGGCCCCTCTGTCCATGGGGATTCTCCAGGCAAGGATACTGGAGTGGGTTGCCGTGCCCTCCTCCAGGGGATCTTCCTCACCCCAGGATCGAGCCATCGTCTCTTACATCTCCTGCATTGGCAGGCGGGTTCTTTACCACTAGTGCCACCTGGGAAATCCAAATATGTAGAACAATCATCTAAAAAAAAAAAAACCATGATTTTAAAACTTAAAATGCATAGACTCAGAGCTGGAAGAAGTGGAGAGATTACGTGTTCTAACTCTCTAGGCTCACAACTGGGAAACTGAGTCACAAAAAAGAAGGAGATCTATCCCCAGCAACAAGGAATTACTGGTTGGAAAGGTCAAGAATCTGGGTTCTCGGGCTTTACGCCAGCACAGAAGCAAAAGTGAAAAAGAGTGATATAAAAGTATACCTACATATACAGCTTTCTATTCCTATAGTATATTACAGGTACCACTATGTCTAGATTACAGTTATGTGTGGATACATGCTCAGTCACTAAGCCGTGTCTGATTCTTTCGCTACCCCGTAGCTTGCCAGGCTCCTCTGTCCATGAGATTCTCCAGGCAAGAACACTGGAGTGGGTTGCCGTTTCCTTCTCCAGGGGATCTTCCCGACCCAGGGATCAAACCTGCATCTCCTGCCTCTCCTGCATTGGCAAGGTGGTTCTTTAGCACTGAGCCACCTGGAAAGCCCCCAAACTATAATGATAGAACGGTTTAAATANGTTGTGGGGTGCTTCCAGTTCACAAAGCCCTTCCTCCACCCTGTTGCTCTTGCTGAGTGCTGGGGGCCCCGGACAAGGCCCCTCACCTCCACCAGCTCCACCTGCAGCAGCCAGGACCACGTGCAAATCATATAGAACAGAGTCTGCCGGGAGTCAAATGGGGTGGGATGAGAACTGTGGAATTCTGAGAACTCCCGAGCCCTGGAGACCGGGTTAGAGGAGACTTTCTGGGGGAGGGGCTTTGGGGGTGCTCTGTGATGGGAGGACTCCGCATCAGAGGGAAGAAGACAGGAAGAGCAGAGAACAGCACTGGTTAGATGTAGAGAGTTGGGCCGTGTGGTCCTGGGGCAGACTTCAGCATCCGGCAGACCTGAGCCCCTGTCTTCGTCCCTGTCTTGCTTCCTGGAGGCTCGCACCCTCTCCCCCTCTGAGCTGCAGCTTCCGCATTCATGTAGAGTACCCATCTCCTGAGATCACTGGGAGGATAATAATACTGACACCCTGACCATGCGTGTGCTGGGCGCTGCAGTAACTCCTTGGTCCTAAGATCTCTAGCAAGGTGATTAAACATAGAAAGAAGGTAACTTAAACATAGAATGCCAAGCATGAGGCCTGACCCAGGAAACTTTAATACTCAGCTATTAAGATTTCTAGCTTTAAAATTTATTAAGATTTATTTGGGTTTGATCCCTGGTCAGGGAAGTAGATCCCACATGCCACAAAGAAGACCTGGCATGGCCAAAAAAAATAAATAAATAAATACATATTTTAAAAAGATTTATTTGTTACTTTGCATCAGGGATGAGACATGCTTTTCCTACTACACCCACTTCCCTCTTCATTCCCCTCTCTGCTTGGTGGGGCTGGGGAGAGAGGAAGAAAACATACTTGTAATGCAATCTGAGAATGCTGCTATTGACTCTGAAGTGTTTGAGGGTGAGACCTAGTGCTGTTACTCTTGGTATCCCCAATGCCTGGCCCAGAGTTGTTACACTTTACCCATCTATCCATCCATCTGGTCAACCAACACACACACACACACACACACACACACACACACACACACACACACACGTGAATTCAATAACAGAGGAATATGAGATTCAATGGGTGAAGTTTTCACACAAAGGTGAACAACTGAACAGCCTTTGAGGATAAGACTATTGCTGTGCATGGGCTCCATGGTCCCCTTCAGTGATGTTCCTGTTCATTGCACATCTTTTTCAGGATTTGGTGTTCCTGTCGGATGACTGCAATGCGTTAGAATACCCAATCCTAGTGACCACGGTCCTCCCGGATCATCAGAGCTAAGGCAGCTCAGACCAGAGACAGAACCTTGGGGAATGAAATTATGTCAGCTGCCCAGACACAACAGACTAAAGCCGTGGCCCCCACAGCTCTCCTTGAAACTGTCATGAGTTTCTGTCCACCTTCTGGAAACCACAGCTTGTGCTCCTACCTTGGAATCAATTCTGAACATAATTAGAAGCTTTGCTTCTCATCCCCCCTTGTTCCTTTCTTGCCAGGATGGTTAGATACACAAGCATGTTGATTTGATCACTGAGAAGAAAAGGGCAAACCAGCTTCTCTAGTTTGAACAGTAAGCTTGAGACCAAGCAAAACAGTATGCTTGTGGTACTACTTTAATGGCATGGTGTTACCGTTTTTCTCTCTTGATGGAAACCTGCTTACATTAACCATGCTTCTATTTTATACCTTCTTCAACTACAAATGTTCCTTCCAGTTAGCTTTCATTTTTTAGAAGAAATTTCACTGCCTGTAAGATGTATTTGTAAGGTTTGTAATGACATAGTGCTGACGGGAACCACTCTATCATTGAAAGGTGATGAAAATCAAATAAAGACTATCATGACGGTGAGAAACATGTGTCCTGCTGTATTCCATCCAAGGTGGGTGTCAGGGTGATTAATTCATACTCTTTCTGCAAGTCGCTGCTTTTAGCAAGATACGTCTTTCTCCTTTCCATAGAGCATAGGTATTTCTGGGTCTGTTTCAAGCCACTTGTGTAAATCTGTTTTCAAAGCATCAGAAGATGTTCCAGTTTATGTTTGGGGAAGACTGTATCCTGCATCGTATGCATGACATATCACAAACATCAGTTCAGTAAGGGCTCATCACAAACCTAGACATGGGCATCATAGGAGGCTGAGGCTTGGGTCCGTTAGGTAACTTGCCCAAGGTCACCAGTTGGTAAGTGGGGAGCCTGGATTGAACTCAGGGGCTCCAAAGCCCACACTCTCCCCAGTGCCCCAGACTGCTTTTCTGCAGGTCAAGGATGCTTGCTTAATAAATTCATGAAATTGACAGTATCATCTCAGTTAAGTAACTGGATTGTTGAAAAGGTTTCCAAATATTGTTTTTTTTTAAAAGCTCACATGCCACACCAGGGGCCTTTTTGTTTTCTTTCCTTCCTTTTGTACACATGGGCCATACTTTTCTTCCCTGAGCTTTCATGTCTCTGACTTAGGTGATCTATGAGAATGATTCAGCAGGCTATGTGTTTCTATTTAGAAGCACAAGTGCAGAGCATAATGGTACTGGTGTCCCAAGGCTGCTGTTAACAGGGTACCACAGACTGGGACTTAAATAGGAGAACTTTATTGTCTCATAGTCCTGGAGGCTAGAGGTTCCTAAATCTAGTGTTGGCTGGGTCCTCCTCTCCCTGAAGGCTTTAGGATAAAGGGTCCTTCCTTGTCTCTTCCTGTCTTCTGGTGTTTTCTGGCAATCCTTGGCATTCCTTGGCCTGTAGACACATCAATTCAATCTCCGTCCCCGTCAACATGTGGTATGTATCCTGCGTCTGTGTCTCTGTGTCCAAAATCCCCTCTTCTTGAAGTAAATTTTCTCTGTTTGCAGATGACATGATCATAAATACAGAAAATGCTAAACACCTCATCAAAGAAAACCTGTTAGAATTAGTAAGTGAATTCAGTGAAGTTACAGGAGAGAAAATCAATATATGAAAATCAGTTGCATTTCTATACACTAACAACAAGCTTTCAGAAAGGGAAATTTTTTAAAACCCCATTTACAATAGTATCAAAAAATAATGCATATGAATTAATTTAACCAAGAAGGTGAAAGACCTATACACTGAAAACAATAAGAATTGATGAAGGAAATGGAGGAAGACACTAATAAATGAAACGTTATACCATTTTGATGGATTGGAAGAATTAATACCATTAAAATAAAAATCTTGTCCATACACCCAAAGTGATCTGCAGATTCAAGACAATCCCTATCAAAATTCCACTGGCATTTTTCACAGAAACAGAAAAGGCAACACTATAATAAAAGTAATATGGAGCTACAAGCCATATGCAGTTTGGCTTGTTTTCTCAAGCCAAAACAATCTTGAGAAAGAGCAAAGCTCAAAGCATCACCCATCCTAATTTCAAATTGTACTAAAAGCTATAGTCAAGACAGTGTGGTACAGGCACATGGGTCAGAACACACAGAACAGGGGAAGAGAATGGAAAGCCTAGATATGCACCTGTGCATAACTTTGACAGGGCCACCGAGAATACATTGTGGGGAAAGACAGTCTCTTCAATAAATGTTGCTGGGAAAACTGGTATGCACAAGGAAAGGATGAGACGAGACCCCTATCTTACACTACACACGAAATTGGACCAAAAACTGAAGTGTAAGACCTGAAATCATACAACGACCGGAAGAAAACACAGGGGAAAAGCTCCCTAACATTGGTCTCAGCCATGATTTTTTGGTTATCGCACTTAAAGCACCGGTATGGGCTTCCCTGGTGGCTTAGATGAAAACAAATCTGCCTGCAATGCAGCAGATCTGGGTTTGATCCCTGGGTCAGGAAGATCCCCTGGAGGAGGGCATGGCAACCCACTCCAGTATTCTTGTCTAGAGAATCCTATGGACAGAGGAGTCTGGAGGGCTGCAGTCAATAGGCTCACATAGAGTTGAACACAACTGTTACACCCAATATCCGAATCCCCGAGCGGGAAGAGAGAAGGCCTCCAAGACAATGCAACTCGCAAAAAGGGAAGTTTATTGCTGACTCGAGTCAGGGCTCCTGCCGCATCCAACGCAGTGGTGCGGGGTCAGAGAGCCCCGAGCCCAAGCTGTTACACAAATTTATAGGGTGAGCACACGCCGTTGGTAGTTGGTTTAAGCAGATTGGTTACAAGTTTGCAAAGCAATTTCATTGGTCAAACACCCTCAAAACTTTCGCGCACGCAGGACTTTCCCGGGGGTTTCCACCCCGTTCCTAATTGGCAAACAGCGGTCAGTATTAAGCTGATTGGTTGTATCCAGGTGGCCTGATAATCTTACCTCCCAGAAGTAGGAAGGCCTACTCCTAATCTAAGCTGCCTGCCATGGTGTTACTTCTGCTCGCCTCACAACAACTAAAGCAATCTAGCATGCATGCAACAAGAGCAAAAGTAAACAAGTGATGTTATATCAAACTTAGAAGCTTCTGCACAACAAAGGAAGCCAGCAACAAAATGAAAGGGAAACGTATGGAATGAGAGAAAATTCTTGCAAACCATATATTTGATAAGGAGTTAATACCCAGAGTATATAAGAAATTTTTCAATAGCAAAAAATTCCAAGTAATGGCTCAGCTGGTAAAGAATCCGCCTGCAATGAGGGAGACCTGTTTGGGTTTGATCCCTGGGTTGGGAAGATCCCCTGGAGAAGGGAAAGGCTGCCCACTCCAGGATTCTGGCCTGGAGAATTCCATGGACTATATAGTACATGGGGTGGCAAAGCATCAGACACGACTGAGCGACCTTCACTTTCACTTTAACTTTCAATCTGATTTTTAAAGAGGCAAAGGATCTGAATAGGCATTTTACCAAAGAAGACATACAAATGGACAACAGGTTCATGAGTAGCTGCTCAACATAATGAATCATGAGAGAAATGCAAATCAAAACCACGATGAAGCACCACCTCATATCTGTTAGGGTGGGTTTTATAAAAAAGACAACAGATAACAAGCTTTGCAGGGATGCAGAGAAAAGAGAATCCTTGAACACAGTTGGCAGGAGTATAGATTGGTACAGTCATTATGGAAAACAGTATGGAGGGTCTTCAAAAAACTAAAAATAGAATTACTGTATGATCCGGCAATCCTACTTCTGAGGATATCTCTGAAAGAAAGAAAATTAGGAACTCAAAGAGATATCTGTGCACCCACCTTCACTGAAATATTACTCACAAAAGCCAAGATATGGAAACAATCTAAATGCTCATTGATGGATGAACAGATAAAGAATTTTACGACTATCTATAATGAATTATTATTCAGCCACGAGAAAGAAGGAAATCCTGCCACTTGCAACAATATGAATGAACCAAGAGGACATTATGCTAAGTGAAATTAGCCAGACAGAGATAAATATTGTAGGATCTTACTTATATATGGAAACTGAAAAAAAAAGAACTCATAAAAACAGAGAGGAATGGTAGTTACCAGGCACTGGAGAGTGGGGAAAATGGTGAGATACTGGTCAAAGGATAGAAAACTTCAGTTATAAGATTAATAATCTCTGAGAATGTCGTGTACAGCATGGTGACTTTATTTAACAATTGTGTTGTGCACTTGAAATTTGGTAGCAGATTTGGTAATTCTAAGCATTTCTCACCATACACGGGTAAAATAAGTAACTGTGGGAAATGATAGATGTGATAATTAACTAGATTGTAGGAGTTACTTCACAAAGTATAACTTCCATCAAATCATCACTCTGTAGATTTTAAATATATACAGTTTTACTGGAAAATCATTCCCCAATAAAGCTGAAAAAAAAAAGGAGCAAAAGAAACAAAAATTTCCTCTTCTTACAAGAATACCAATTATTGGTTTAGGATAAAGTGTGACCTCATTTTAATTTGATAACATCTACAAAGATGCTATTTCCAAATAAATTCTCTTTCATAGATCTGAGGGGTTAGGAAGTAGGGTATCTTTTGGGGAGACAAAATTCAACCTACAACAGTCAGTCTGTCAAGTGATAATGTTGTCACAAAGGAAAATTATGCTGCAAACTAACCCTTTGTTACCACCATCTACCACTTCCTGCCAGAGGCTAAACGTGGGTGCCTGTTTAAACACTAGCCCACTGAACCTTCACAATGATGCTGCTGCAGGCTGGGAGTTCTCCAACCCAATTTACAAGGTAAGAAATGCACTTGGGATCAAAGGTTAAGTGATTTTCCCTGACAGCTGATAAAGAGTGGCAAAGAGATTCCAGATAAATAGATAGGCACTAGAAGTGTTTATTTCACAGCTCTGCTAGTGAGTGAAAGTCACTCAGTCGTGTCTGACTTGTTGCGACCCCGTGGAATTCTCCAGGCCAGAATACTGAAGTGGGTTGCCATTCCCTTCTCCAGGAGATCTTCCCAAGCCAGGGATAGAACCCAGGTTTCCCACACTGCAGGAAGATTCTTTGCCAGCTGAGCCACCCAGGAAGCCCACAGCTCTGCTAAGTCTTAGCTAATTCTAGGTAGCACAGTAAGCCAGTGAAGACAAGGACTAATTTACACGTTCCAGGCGTTTGTTTGCTCATTTCTTCCATACTGACTGAGTGCTTACTATGAACTCAGCAAATACTGAGATGCAAAGTAAAGATTTCTTCCTCTTAGGTTAGCAGAGAGGACATATGCAAAACCAAGGAGATGACAAATAATGCTTCCTGAGATGAGGCAGAAAGGTTTCTTAGAGGATTCAGAATTTGAACAGGGTCTTTAAACATAACTGGGAACTTGATGAGATGAAAGCGAGGCAGAAGATAGAGCAGAGCCAACGGCATGGAGACTCTGAAGTAAATGGTGGCATAGTTGGAAATCGGGAAGTGAAATTGAGAATGTAGTAGGGTCA